AACAAACAGGTTTGTCGTGGAGAGGGTGAAACCAAGCTGCTCCTAAGAGACAAGGATTCTGAAACTCCACCTGACATAGTTGGGGTGTTTCAAGGAATGATCACTCCTTGGAGAGGGACATTATGCTTGGGAGGGTAAAGGAACAGTGCAAGAGGGGAAGACCCTCAATGAGATGGATTGAATTAGTGACTGGAATAAGGACAATAGATGTGTCAGAGACAATAAACTTGGCACGGGATAGAGCAGGGTTCAGAGTTGTACACTGGGTCGCTATGAGTCACAAGCGATTCAATGACACCTAACAATAAACAACAACATGTTATAAAAACAGCGTAATTTTTGGGGGGGAATCTGACCTCCATTAAGTTCATGAGAGCCAAGAATCCCCATCAACAACATCAGCAGCACAAAACCCATTACTATGAGGTCGGACATACCCTTACATTTCTGATTCTTCTTTTATCAATACTAATATCAAATGACTCTCCCATGATTCTCTATTACTAGGTTTGATAATTCATTAGAGTGATGACACGGAACTCACAGACAATATCCACAATTTAGGGATTTATTAGGAAAGTAACAGGTTACATAACTCAGGCGAGAAACTCAGGTTAGAATTCTTTAATTAGGATAACTTATCCGGCATGCTCTCATGCATACCTCTGTCCCTGGCCCTCTTGGCTCTGGGTCCTGCCTGGGTCTTGGCACTCGGACAAGTGCTAAAAAAACTCTACTTTCTGCCAGCTATGACCCTCTACCCACACCTTCCACCAGCAAACCTAGGCCAAGGTGCTCTATCTGTCTCTGTGGAGCAGCAGATCTAGGCCAGCTGTGTCTCACACTGCTCTCTGGTTTTCAGCCACCTCTTTTGTTGCTGCCCCTCTTGCTCTTCCTGCCTTCCTCATGGTGTCTCAGCCTTCAGTCCTGCTGTGTCATGCAGGAATCTCTGGCCCAAAGGACTTGCTACGTATTCCAGTTCTTTGATGGTAGTATGATTTCTCTTTTTCTGCCTCTGTATGTTCTTTGTTGATAATAGTGAGATTCCCCATTTTCTCCTTCTGTATCAGTTCAGATTAGCTTTGTGTGATGGCAAAATTGACCAATCCCCTTGTTAATGGTATGCATACTTCATTTGCATTTTTTCCACCCAAAAGGTATTGTT